TTAATGTCAACAATATCTAATAACATTGCAATCGAGATGTGAAGAAGGCCGCGTGAAAGGCGTCCGAGATTGGAGATCCGAGCATGTCTCGATGCGAACTGCACTCTTAACAATAATTCAGTTGGTTAGAAAGTTTCAGTACCGTACTACACTTAACGGACATCGCGTGTGCGCGCTCAACATGAACCCGACGAAATAACAGAAAAACTAAAAAAGACAATAGTCGAGTGCCGCAAAAATATAAATATAAATATTAAAAAGGTTCCGTATAGTATCATGATTTGTGTCGCTTAGAGGAATAGATTGGTTGAATTTAATTTTGTTGTTTTGTTTGGAGTTCAACATTCAACACCATGAATCAATGAAAGTAAGAGTAAAACGTAACAGTTCATTACCGAAAAATTTATACTGTATAAGATTCTGTGCCCACTAAATCATATCGATTTAATCTGTTTATACATATATATTAACAAGTTAACTGTGATTGGCAAATATACTCGTCAGGAAGAGTGACAGAATTTGTCACGTATATAAATCTTTGACGATTGGCTATTTAGATGGCAAAAAACTAAGCTATGCCGGTATAAATAGTTTTCAATGAGCGTGCCACTGTTCAACAGAAACTAGTTTACTGACGAATTGACATGAGAATTAACCCTTTTGCTACGAGAGCGTTTCCCGCAGGAGTGTCGCTGCAGGACATGGAAGAGCGTGTTCATTAGTAGTGCTACTTAACGCTATAGAAAGATATTTCTCTAATTACCAAAAATGTGTTAAAATATTAAAAATTGCGCTTTTAATAAACTAAAATATGCAATAAAAATTAGAATTATCATTAGTAATAGATTGATAAAAATGATCAACATTTCAGAACACAACATTTCGTCCATGTCGCGCATGGGCGACACTCGAAGCGAAAGGTTTAATGATCGCAACGGAAAAATACAACTATTAAATTAAGAAAAATGTTATTTAAGGATATGTACTTAATAATTTATGATATGGGCGCAAGAGTATACAGTTTGTTTATAAGAATTTTATACCTAAAACATAATCTATATTCATGTAATTAATTGTCTTCGATGTTACAATACCATTCTAATTCTATTAAAATTTCAGAATTCCATAAAAAGATAACGCCGATTGTCCAAAAAATTGTTAAGCTATGATCCGTTTAAGAGAATTTATTGTATTGATAAACAGTAAAGTAAAAATTGAAAAATAAATTGAAATTGAAAATTTTAAATTATTCGCAAAGTATTTATATATTTCTGATTGAAATATTTGGAAATATGAACGCACTGTACGCTTTGTTACACTATTTATTAAATAAATGAAATAATATTGGTTTGTTTCATTGTTAGTGAAATATTAATAGACATCTGCTATTAATTTGGGGAAAATAATAATATGACTAGTAAATTTTGATATTATTTTTTAATAATTATTTCACTCTCACGTTATAGTTCAAAAGCATTTGCAAATACATATACGAGTATATAAAAAAATAACTTTCACAGTCGCGCCGGTTTTGAAAGAAAAATTGCGGACTAGTTCTAGGCGAAGAAAAAGTAGTGTAGATTTATGGAGTAGTTTAGAGAATCTTTTTATTCTATTTTATGTTTTGGAAATCGGTACGAATATATACATTAAATGATGAGATTTTGTTTCATTTGTTATATATTAAATTAATTTAAATTAGTTTTCACTTTAATTAACTATAGATGACACAAAAGGCGGCGAGATTATTTTTTGTTATATTAGTTTACTATATTTTCACTTCATTGTTCAAAAAGTTAAGCATCATCTAATTACATTACTAATAAATTTTCTCATATAAATGTCAATTTCTTAGGCAATTGAATTCTTTTGCTAAAATATACCAGGAGAGTATATATATACCAGGATGGCCCAAGAGGTCGCAGATTTAAATGCCGCGCTACGTACATTCTGATATCAATCAGTAGTGATATTCGTTTCTACTTGAATGCATAAATCAGGAAATGTATTTATATATATACATATATTTTATATATAAAATTCTTCTGTAATGGGGTATGAATGGTTAATCCTTCTATCTAAACTATTATTCGGATTTTCATAAATCTTTCTGAAGTTTTTTAAGGAAATTTTGTAGGATTTTTTGATTCATAGAAATATAGTTAGATTGTAGAAATAAATGAAAAAAACGCTTATCATTGATTGACATTGAAAATATTTGGGGCATTGTTTGACATTAAAAACAAATGAAGACTGTCATTTGCCAAAAATTTCTATTCACTTTGTTATGAGTAAGAAAAATGTAATGTCTACATTATTATTGCCGAAAAGCAGCTGAGATGTGCCAAGAATTATTATAATATAAGATTTACAGTCAACCTGCGTCGTTGAGTGATTGCACATCAAACTTAGCCTATAATTCAATTTGACAGATTATTATTTTTTAACTTTTTAATTACTAAACTTTTACTAAATCACAATACAAAAATAATTTACTTATTCAAAAAATTATTTAGAAGTTTCATTGGGTCAAAAATTTATATGTTTGGCATTGTATACGAAATATTTACTCAAGTCAATGAGGCGTTTTGGGAATATTTTTAATGTGCTCCAATTTGTATGAAATTTTGGAATTAGGTTCACAATACTCTCAAGTTTAAAAGTGAAAATTTAGTGAAAAGTGTAGACTCCTTTGCCACTTTCCGGGGGGATGACATCCCTTTTCAGTGGTGCAATTGCAACTCTTTCAAAATATCGTCGGATATCGATAAAAGAACTATTTAAAAGAGAAAAATGTTTAATCATGTTTTTCAAAAAAGCAATTACTTTTCAAGTTACTGGCTACTGAAAATTTGTTTTTTTTGCATTTTTTGCAAATGTTTCTAAAATATGCATTTTAACGAAAGTCATGTAATGAACAAAATTATATCAAATAAAATCTTAATAAATCGATGTTCTATAAAGTGTTCTAGGAACAATATTATACTAGATATGAAAATCGGGTTTCATAGTACTCAAAATAAACTTTAAAATGAGTACTTTTGCGTGTAAAATGAGTGAGCTATCATGCAGATAAAGAATGCATACAATGTTTTTTTCATTTAAATCAAATAGTTTATGAGTGCCATTTCCACCAAAATTAAAAATAATCGTATTCCCTCAAGAAATAACTTGGTTTAAGAGATCTTGATGGATTTTAGAAACTACCACAACTTTAGTACAAACGATTTCCAAAAAGCTCATGATTTCATGAAAAAAATCTATTTAAAAAAAAACCAATTTCTCATTATTATATCTCTGAAAGAATAAAATATACTTATAAAGGTATATAGATGAAAATGCAAGGTCTTTTTCTGACTAATTATTGCTTTTTATTATTTTTTCTCTTACACAAATATTGATAGAGTTATGATTCTTTAAAGTTTAAAGAGTGCGTGGCTGTTCAACCAGAGTGTCTTTTGAGCCCTTTAACTCTTCGCCGTTTAAAAATAAGAGAAGTTACACTATAATTTATGACAGAGAAAGTTGTGTCCAATAAATGTGGTGGGTGGTGAAGGAGTGCAATTTGCTTTCACTTCTGAACTTAAGATAAAGATTAGCCTATTTCCTACACACGCTTTTTTCCTCTCCATTTACTGCAATAATTTTGTTGATCGTAGGTTGAATAGAGCACATGTGAACAGGATTTGACAAATTAATTCACTTTAAATATAAATCTAAGTAATAATGTTTATTTAATTATTAGTGAGAAAAATGTAATTTAGATATTAAAATTACTAAAAGCCAGTTTAAAAATGGTACGAATATATAAAAATTATAGGCAACATTATTGAAGCAATTATTTTGGGTAGAAAAATCCAAGGTGATATTGTACCTTCACCGCGAATGCTATATATTAATTCTTTTTGAATTTGTTATACATTTTAAAAGACTTCAATTTTCAACACGTGTATATTATGCTATGACCATAAATCACAAAGGAAGACAATGATTTTTTGTGTGATACATTTGGAAAATCAATGTTTTAGTCGCGAATAAACAAAAAATCATTCATTTATACATCCACATCTACAGGTATGACTAAAAAATTGCATAACCCTTGGCATTAAACTGAGCCAAAAAGTAAACTGAGCTATTGGAATTTTATTGAACATATTTTAATATTTGTTAAAGGGATAAATAAAGTGTTAACTGTGGAGAATTAACATCACTCATATATTGGTGTAAATAGTAATTCGAAAATCAATAATTATTATTTTTAACTGAACGGTAAATATTAGTATAGGATATTGAAGAAACGTATATGTGGGTTCAGGACGTCGAATCATCTAGTATATATATATATATATATATATATATATATATATATATATATATTCGAAAATAAAAAGCAGCACTATTGTTCCCTGAACCGAATTGGAGTTTAACTGAGCTCACGGACCTGCCCTAGGGCAGTACTACCCATTGTTGTTTATATTATATTATATTTGCTAGTACTACTTGAATTATTTTGTAATGAATGAAAATGTTGCAAAAAATATTCTTGGAACGTTTGCGCTGGAATGACATTTGATTTCAAAACTAAATATATGATATAACTTTAAATTACTCATTTGAACGGCAATAAAAACTTTAGTCATAAACTATTGTGATGACACTTCTCACCTATGCAGATTTTTCGAAGATAACCCAACGGTTAGCCTATCGTATATATTTCATTATGAGAATTTTTTTAATACTCTTGTTTTTTTCTTAATTTTATGCAGTATTACCGGAGAACCACTGTTTTTATGTGAGAACATATCTTCATCTGAATTTTCAAGTGAAAATCAATGTCACTGCTTGACATCAGGGTGTCAGAGGTGGATATCAAGCTTGTTGTTAGAATTTTCTTGTTGGAAGGCCTAAGCTCTAACGACTAAGACACAGAAGTCCAAAATATGTGATATAATAAAATACAATTTATAGATATCTGACAAATAATTGCGAAAGATGAACTTAAAACTATCCTTATGTACCAATTTAAATTGTAAAGTGCAACACGTAGCTTTAAACATTTTGTGATATTTCCAAAAATTTAAATGTTTCAAGTTTGACATACCAAGTTCGTGGCGACAAAACAAATGAGAAACAATTATTTTAAAATGATAAAATGTTATTAGTAATGTGATTTAATCCGTAAGAAATGAGTGTAACTGCTAGTTCATGGAGATTTGGTATAAAGGCTTCGAGAGTTCCACGATATTATTACAGAAGATTGGCGTTAGGAGACTGCGAAAGTTATGGAGGCGATGTGCAGGAAATGGTGAGTTTCAATCATTTTTAAATATAATTTCATTCAATTTTATGTTTTAATCATATAATTTGATAAGGCGCTGGGTCTATATGAAAATATAACTAATTGAAAGTGGCATTTTGCCTTAAGGCAAGTTGCACAAACTTCCTGAAATATGTAATAATTGACTTAATCAACCGAAATTGAGATTTAGTTATTTAGATAAAATTTTCAACTGTTTATTTCGAAAATAAAGTTTTCGCTTTCAATTAAATTTTAACATCTCAATCACATTTAAAATTTCTGCGATTATATTATTATTATACCATTATTATACAATTAATTAAAATTTCTACAATTATAATTATTACAGCCACGTGCTTATGTTCCTAAAGTTGTAATGCATTATTCCATATTGGCAATGTTTGACTTATCACATCACAAACGCAACTTTTGACACAAATATTTGACTGTAATATTTTTCAAACTTCGATGAATTTTTGAAATTAAACTACTTACTGTGGGACTGTAAAATTTTAGTGTTCTTTAGAACTATGATATCTATCAAAACAAAAAGTTTCATCGATTTTTTTTTTCAACAAGTAATTATGATGAAACGGTTCGGCTGATCTATGTCTAAAACTGATCAGCACGACTCCCAAATAATATCTTCCGAATAGTTTTAAATTTTTAGAATTTTGGCTAAAACATGGACGGAAAATTTTTCACTTTTCTGCTAATTACAAAGAAACAGCTCAGCCGATCATATCAAAAATCTAACCAACACGTGTGCTAATCAAGTTTCATCGAATGGTTTTTAAATTTGTGAAATCGACTCAGTCGTTTTTTAAAAAACATCGATGAAAGGAAACTCTTTTTTTTTCAAATGAATTTTTAAAATTAAACGACGTGTCACAGGGCCGTAATATTTTAGTATATTCTAGAAGACTATGACATCTATCGCCAAAAGAAATTCATAAAAAGAACTTGTGCCAGCGAATCTTTATCAAAAACTAATCAGCTCTATTCTCAACCAATACCTTTCGAAAGGTTTTTAAATTGTGAAACGTGGACAAAAAATTATAACTTTTCTGCTGTATACAAAGAAACGGCTCGATCGATCAGTTACATCGAATGGCTTTTAAATTTTTGAAATCGGTCCAACCGTTATTGAGAAAACGACGATGAAGGGGTCACTCTCTCTCCCTCACACGCACAAATGCTTTTTCCAAATTTGGTTTCATTCGATTCAGAATGGCTTGATACGTCGAGAAAACATAATTAGCTATTTGCTCCGTCTTCCCATAAACAGGAATCTATTGTTATTTTGAATCACTGAAATCGGCTGATCCGTGCTCTTGAAATCATACACAAAAAATTATATCCGCACCAATACATGCACACACACACTCACATACATACACATACATCCATTTTTTCTGTAAGGTATGCCAAATTGCTTGTAATGAATCGTATAGATATGCAAAAAAATTTGTTGTCGAGTTTTTTTCGATTACTACAACTTACTCTACGGTAAAAAGGTAGAATATTACAATTTTTTAATTTTTGACTAATTTTGACTAAAGGGTATATATTTGTAAAAATTTTAATTATTTGGAATTTATTAGATTTTAATTTAGTTTTTGGCATATTCGATGCATTTTTTCAAAGATCAAGACAAATTTGTAAAGTGAAGTGTTCAATAACTCTAACAAATTTTATAGTTTTATAATTATTGATAAAATTCTGCAAACTAAAAATGACAAAAACCTTATAAAAACATATTCGTTAAAAGGATAAATTTGAAATGTTTTTAGTTTTAGTCAATTTTTTCAAAGGTAATATTTGTTAAAGTTTTAAAATAATAAATATTATAGAAATTTAATGTTTGTAAGATATATTGTAATTTATATGAATATAAATAAGTTGTATATGATTAAATGTGTAGAACGAGGTCAAATATAATATATATATATATATATATATATATATATATATATATATATATATATATATATATATATAAGCTACAATAAATAAAAATAAAAATAAAATATGAAAGTTTTGTCGAAACTGAATAAAAATGTAATTTTATAGAAGTTGAATCTAAAAAGATGAAAAAATTGAAAAATTAGTAAATGCAAAAATATTTATTTCAGTATGAATTAAAATATTGGAAAATATATTAAAAAATAAAGTGATATATATATATATATATATATATATGGCTTTTCCATTGTTTATTTTGCGATAGTGATTATCGTTTTATATTCCTGGCATTTCTGATTTACAAAAAAAATCCGCTCTTTCATTCCAAATGTCAAAGATTATTGCATTTTAGTAACAGCTCTTTTGCAAATGATATTGATGGTTGATATTTGCCGTTTGTTGATTTTCCGTGGCGCCTGTGAATAAATTAACGATTTACATATTAATTGACAGCAAATACTGAAAAATGAAGCTATTTGGTTGCACTGAGATCACAATCCAAAGACCTTCAAATAAAATTAGAATTAAACTGCGTTCAGTAGTATTCATATTTGCATAGGTTGTTTATGTGAAATTTGCTACTTTCGGAAGTTGTACTTTCACTCAAGACATTAACAATTGGCAGTACAATTATTGCATATTTTGAAATTTATTTTAACAACTATTTGAATATCTTATTAAATTTTTAAATGGAATTGGGAGAAATTAGATATAAATGCAACAAATTATTTGATAATGATGATTTTATAGAAACAAGTAAAACTGGACTAAATAAATAAAAATGAGCATATGTAATGACAAATTTAATAATAACTATGAATGATACAGATTGATATCAGGCAGTTGAGATATTTATTTTTGCTTGGATATATACGTAGATAGCAATTTGTTTTAAGTGAAAATACGCCTTACCCGATTGCATCAACGACATAAGTTTAATATTTCATTGTAAATAAATAAGTCTTTATGCCCAATAACTTAATATGATTCAACACTATTTAAGGAGACAATTAAATTAAGTTTTATTTAAATGAATTTTTTTAATCAGATTCAATTACTTTTAGTAAAAACTTTAATATTCGATTAGTTAAGCAGGGCTTTACTGAATAAGTATATAGTATTTTTTCAAAGCCATCTATACATTATTGTAACTATTATGGTTACTACATATTAATAAATAAAATGAATAAATGAATGTAAATACGGTTTTTTGGTTTCCCTACAAGAATTTTAATGTGTTGTATCGACTATAATGGGTGCATTACATATGCTTCCATTTAAATTACTTGCCTCTGCCCAAAATGTACCAAATGTACCAATCAATCTTCTGGTGATGGATCGGGTCTATCTTGTGAATTATTTATTGAATTTGAATTATGCTAGGTACGAATTGGGATATGTACTAACTTGATGACTCGTCATTAATGAAATCACAATTTTATAATATAGAAAACTATGAATAGTTTTTTGCTTTAAGGCAATTTGCCGAACTTCACAATATCTTGTAAATGTAATATGAAGCAACTTTTTCTAAAATTAATCAGCCTTTTCCAACGGATATCTTTAATTTTTGTAAATCAGACTAGACTTGTCTGAGAAAATATAATGAATTATTTAATAACATATTAATGGCAAAGAAATTTTTCATAAAATTCACATAAGACCGGTGATTGTAAATTTTTGTTGTAGTTAAATACGAAGCAAGGGCACTGCTAATTTTCAGAAAACTCCTTAGAACAGTTTTATGTAATATAGTTTGAACGGAATTTGCGATAACGTTGATGGATAATTCTTTATTTAACTATTAATTACAAAGAAACGACTTTATTAGATTTCATGAATTAACTTCTAAGATGGAAGGCGGAATTTGATATTACATATGTAGAGAAATGCACTTTATCTTTTTTCCAATTTTCAGAATGAATTGCAAGTCGATAAAATATGAAACAGCGAATCGGATTTACTGCCGATAATAAACTTCTTCGGGAAAAATGCGAAATAATATTGTTAATGAATGAATAATTAAGAAAATTAACAAAGTGCTGATCAATGCTATAGATATTTATAAATATTTCAAAAATATAAGGAAAGTTAATTATAAAAGTATTAAGATAGTTACGAATAAGAACAAAACAAAACACAAATTTTATATTTGTGATATGGTGCGAATATAGTGTCATTGTTTACAATTTAAATGTTTTGTCACGGTATATTATCAGGCAGTGGCGTCGGAACCGTGCGGGCTGTGTGGGCTTGAGCCCACCCATGAAATTTCTCATTATCATCTCAAAATATGATAGGGCCTAATATGCCTAACTAAAAAAAAAACGAACCCACTGGCTGCCCACCAAAAAAAAACGAGCACACCCATCAAAACTTTGCTTTCGACGCCACTGTTATCAGGTCATTTTAACATTTGTTTTGTATTTAATCTCAACCAGCGGTGGAGTAATAGGTATCGGGCAGCATGATGTCAAATTTCCATTTGAGTTTATAGATGGAAACATTAGATTAAGTTTCCATTTTTTATAGTTTTTCATTATATCAAGGTTACAAAGCAACGGTTTATAGGACAATGTAATTCAAAGTAGTTTCGATTGCTGTTAAAACAATAAATAAAGTATAGTACAAGCGCCAGTGAACTATTTGACTAACCTGTTTTCACAAAGCTAGATTTTTTTTAATGATATTTTATTATCGACCCATTAAGAAAGTACCATTCTGGCAGTCATTCCGCGGTTGCGTATTCAATTTTTGAAAATGTCAAAAAAAGGCTCAAATTTTGAGGGTTCATTATTTTAATTGTTCAGAAAGTATATGTAAACAGCCAATCCATTTTTTTTATTGTTAGAACAACAATCAGAACTCCTATATTTTCTATAAGCTGTTGGTTAACGACTTAAGACTACTTATTTTATGAGAGGCAATCCATCGATTAACCATTCTCTTATGTGTGGGATATTTTTGATAATAGCTTTTATGTCTAATAGTTAACATATGATTGGATGTTGCAGCTATGTCCACGAAAGACGATTTCCACT